GGCAGTTGGACGAACGCTATGGCTTGGATTTTATATTCTCCAGGGAACCGCTTTGTTCGATTCACTAAAGAATAGAGGGGGTAGATGATGTGGAACAATTTGGAAGATTGGGCCGAAAAAGATTTATTGGGCCCACCGACCCAATACACGTCAAAGACAAGGTCTCTTAGGAGATCGCAGTTAACGAGCTCGCCAATCCATCCGAACATGCTAGAGATAAATCGAAAATACTTTTTCTAAATAGATAAAGGAAGTATGTAAATTAGTATTAGTAATGGAGCAATCAATGTAAATCTCAACCTAATTAAGGTGAGTTAAACTAGGAAGCAGTTAGAGAAATCTTCTTATGTAATGTAGGGTAAATTACAGGGGGGGGGTGAAGTATGGTTCAATTACGAAGGGGCCCCTTTTGTTTGGATAATTACATCTACACCCTCAAGTATGATTTTTTTTTACATCTCCACCCTTATGGTGTCAAATTCAACATAATCATCTAGATTTCGTGGAATGTTCTCTAGTTTGTACTCGTTTTGTGCAAAAATACAGTTTCTGATGCACTACAATATGATATATACAAGCCAAAAAACACGTCTTATGATCATCTAGCTTCAATATGTGGAACTCGAATGGGATAAAACGGGTCCAAAATTGAGAATATTCCATATAATCTAGAAAATTCCACTAAATTTGAAACCGCAAGGGTGGACGTGTAAGAAGATTTATAGTTGAGGGGGTGGTTGTAATTACTCAAACCGCAGAGTTTTTCGTAATTTGATCATACCTCAAGGATTGGTTGTAACGTACCCTATAAAGTATTGTAATTAGTCCAATTAAGGACACGTTTTAACATCAATAAGAACATTTGATATTCTCTTCAAGCCCTCTCTCATTAGATTTATATTTTCCGTTCGTCGATTTCATCTTCTCCGGCGAAAGACCAGCGATCGGTGGATTTTCCAACGGTCAAGGGAGTAGGGTTTGGAGTGAGATCTTGAGGGCGTAAATCCGACGCCATCAATATTTATTATCATTTGATAATAATCTGGAATATTTTGCCATAGGCCAGTTATCGGTTTATTTTCTATTTAATGTCACAAAATCTGCTAAGATATGATTCTAGAATTATTTTCATTGGGAGATAGTAACAATATGGTGCTAAAATTACGGCTTTTGTTTGATTGGTCTTAATGAAGATTTGTTCGACCCTACATCCGGTGATAAACACCGGTTGGGTCTTCTGCTGCCACGTGTCTCTTTTTTGTATTTTATAATAGATTCCCCGCTAGGGTTTACCTTTAGAAGTTTTGGAAAAAAAAAAGGAACACGTGGCAGCAGAATACCCACCCAATTCTTATCACCGGACCGGATGTAGGGTCGAAGGAACCCTTAACGAGCCTCTTAATCACTAATTTGCTGAATCGGTAAGCAATTGAATGTTAAATGCGTTTGATATTAATGATTGGATGGTTCCAAATTAATGCTCTTAACTATTAATTCCAAGAGTTGGTGCTGACCCAACAAGTACTATATCTGGATGAATTTGCACATAAATATCCTTTAATAAACTTATGTATTCCCACACTAACCTCACTTAATATCCCAACACACTACCACTTTTGTTTTATAACAAAATCAGCACCGCACAACTTCCATCCTTTTTAGTCCCTAAGTAAGTTCTATCATTTGTTCTTTCATTTATCTTAATTATATATTAAAATAAAAGGTTGGAATATATTTTTATTCGTGTTAATTTTAGTTACTTTAGTATATTTTCATATTTGAAGTTAATAAGTATTATTATCTTTAGTTGCTTAGAGATTATTTTTTAGGGCGAATGTCAAAAAGGCCCATCACGTGGTACTTATATGCATTTTGGTCCACAAAAAAAACAGTCTCTCAATTAAACTCATCAGCATCTCTTTACTCTGAAATACCCTCCATGATATAATTTTTATCAGTTCCATTCTTATGCTCTAACTTCCTTAATATTACACATTGACCCCGGATTTAAACAAATATATCACATTAACCCCCAAAATATTTTTTTTTCAGAAAATAATTTTTTTTTCCAACCAGATTCCGGCGTTGATTTTTTTTTCTTTTTTTTTTAATTTTTTTTTCTTAGAAAAAAATATTTTAATTAATATTATTGTCTTGGCTACTAAATTACTGTCGGAGACAGTAATTTAGCAGCCAAGGCAGTAATATTAATTAAAATATTCTTTTTTAAGAAAAAAAATAAAAAAAAAAAAAGTCAATTAACAGTTAAATTACTGTCTCCGACAGTTAAATAACTGCTGGAGACAGTAATTTAGCAACGAATACAGTAATATTAATTAAAAATATTTTTTTTAAGAATAAAAAAGTCAATTAACAGTTAAATAACTGCTGGAGATAGTAATTTAGCAACGAATACACGCATATTAAAAAAAAAATTTACGAATAAAAAAGTCAATTAACAGTTAAATTATTGTCTCCGACAGTTAAATAACAGCTAGAGACAGTAATTTAGCAACGAATACAGTAATATTAATTAAAATATTTAAAAAAAAAAGTCAATTAACAGTTAAATTACTGTCTCCGGCAGTTAAATAACTGCTGGAGACAATAATTTAGCAGCAAAGACAGTAATATTAATTAAAATATTTTTGAAGTAAAAAAAAAAAAAAAGTCAATTAACAGTTAAATTACTGTCTCCGAGAGTTAAATAACTGCGGGAGACAGTAATTTAGCAGCCAAGACAGTAATATTAATTAAAATATTTTTTTTAAAAAAAAACAAAATTATGTAAAAAAAAATAATAATAAAGTCATGCCGGAGACCCGGCGGTCAACGACAGTTGACCGGCCAGAAAAAAAATTCAAGGAAAATTTTTTTTTTCAAAAAAGAAAAAAAAAAAAAATCAACGCCGGTGGTGGCGGGTCAAAATTGGGGTCAGAATTGAAATTATGGTTAAATTGGTTAATTGGTGAAATTGGGCTAAATTGAGGTGTAAATCATGAAATTGGAGTTGAATTGGGTTTCAATGAATTGGGGGTAATTTTGGTATATAGAAAAGGATTTTCCTTATTTGCAAATAAGTTTGAATGAGCTGGATTTATTTGAAAAACAAAAAATTGAATATCCTTCTTTTAATTAAGTGCCCTTGTCATGGGCCTATTTGCCATTTGCCCTACTTTTTAAATTTGTTTGGCTTTTATATTTTGTATTTATATGATAATAATGTTAAATAGTTGAATTTAATCCACGTAGAGGTGTTTAATAACCGAAATTTCATAATGTTAATCATGCTAAAGAATTATATTTATACATATATGTTACTCATTAACAAATACTATAGTATTTAAACAAGGCTAAAATAGTAAAATAATATTATTCAAACAACATTACAGAACTTCAATTGTCAAATGAGCTTAATAATTATTCAGCATTCAGTATCCATATACAACTCTTAGCTATTCAGATGTATATTTATCATTCAATGCTTAATCTTATCAATCACAGTCTACGTCATGCATTGCCAAAAGTTCACACTACATAGAACAAATAGCAAATGCTGTTGACAAGTTCATAATGAACTATAAGTAAAAGATAATAAATACAAGTATCAAGAGACCATGGGACCGAAACAAGCAAGAGCTATTCAATCAAGACAAACACTTTATTCTTCTCCATAATCAATTCTTCCTGAGCAAATTGTGTATATATATATATAGAGCTCCGTCTTATTAGTATTGATAACATTTTGTTGGCTCATTTACATAAAGGAGTAAAAAAAAAAAAAAAAAAAAAAACAGCAACAGAGAGATCGATGATTCCAGATTTGGCTCTTTCTGGTTTTGATTCTATGGTTCACCATTATTATTAATTAGACAATTTCGACTAAACTTTCGCAGTAAACATGCGGCGGTTCAAGGGAGCCACCAAAGTTCATTATCCTGGGAGGCCGAAAACAATTATTTCTTGGATTGTAAATCATGAACCTTGATCCAATCATTAACAAGATTTTACCCTCTTGTCCAATACCAAATGGTGTAAGTAATGGACTTTCCCTACGAAGGTTACTACGTCTACCATAAGAAACACTCGATATTCTTGCCCAAGAATTTGTCACCCTCAATATTCTTGCCCAAGAATTTGTCACCCCGTACTCCTTCAAAACCCAAACAACCATTTCGATTTTAGGGATATGACCGAGCACACAAAGGCATTCACCGAGCACTTCCAATGATGGGGAAGAACCGGTTCCGAAATAATGGGGTAGCGCCACACTTCCACATATCTCACTCCCCAAGTCGAACGAAACAATATCCCACCTCGCGGAATGGTTAGGTCCGCTTCTTCTAACCCAATGAAGCTTTCCACTCACAAACTTCCCGGTACTACCGAATAAACAATCATGCGCAAGATCCTCGATTCTTTTCCAAGAATTAGTCCTCAAACTATAAATTTTCACCATAGTTTCAAATCCACCCCCAATGCAAAAACTAGACACAACTACCAAAACCTTGTAGTCTTCATTACACTCATCAAATCCAAATCCATACTTGCTGATAACTTTAATCCTATCATCTGCATTAGGCAGTTTCTTGAACTTCCTGGTGGATGGGTTCCACAAGTAAATAAGTTTCTCGTTCAAGATTGTGCAGATGAGCCCATTACACGAACCCACAACACGAACCGAATCGTTGGGATTTCTAATCGGAAAGTCGACGTCAACTGCATTAGTCGTCCCAAGCCCATAAAACAATGACGACAAAGAGCATTGCTTCAGAATTTTACCAGGAGGCGAAAACGTTGAAATGATATTTTGACGGGTAAAGTTGTTGGTGTCTTTTATTGAAATTTTGAGATGGGCTTTGATGAAACGGTTGCTGGAGATTAATGAACACCATGATTTCGAAACGCACCTGAATTTTAACAGGGACTTGACGGGGAGTCTTAACAGGATTTCTTCCATGATTTCTTCCGGGAAAATTTCGGCTGCCGGAGTTCGGTTTCGACGGCGACGGAATATTCTGGGTATAAAGATTGATGATGATTTGTTTCCCATTTTGTTTTGTTGTAATGTAATTCAGGTGAAGTGATATTGCAAATTTTTTATTTGCGTTTGGTGTGGTGAACATTTATAAAATTAATGATTTGAGATGCCTTTCTTATGAAGAGAAGAATGATAGAAATATTAATATACTTTTCTTTGTTACGAAGATGTATCAATATACTTTTACTTACAAATATTATGATACTTTTCTTAGGAAGATTAGGGGTATAATCAACGTATGATTGATTTTTTAAGTTTTCTCAATTTTAATCCAGCTTTGTTTAAGAAGTAACTGAGTCGAGTTCGAACGATTTTTAACTGAGTCGAACCAGAGTTCGAGTGATTGTCTTAAATCATTTTTTTTTTCATTTTTCTCTAATCGAGTTTGAATCCAGTTTCATAAAATATCGAACAATAGTATGTGTTCAAGTTTAGTGAAAGAAAAGTACAAATGGGCAACATTTATTTGAGAAATGTACAATTAAAAAAAAAAAAAAAAAAGAATTAGAATAAATGTTATAAAATTATTCGATTATGAAAGGAATGGAATTAGATACGAAATAAATGAGCCAGTAATGGAATAATGATCACAGTGAGGGTGGAATATACTTATAATACATTCTAACGTTTGGTATATATATAATTTAAAAATGAATGAAATAATTAATTTCTCGTCGATCATATATTTAAATATTAAATTATAAGTTAGACTTGGTGATTCGACCCAAATGGGCGAGATAAACAAATATGGATATGTTAGATTTGGGAGTGGCTTAATGGCTGTCCAAAAGAAGAAATCCGGACCGAGCCTAAACGCCCGGCGAAACAATGAGTATCGGGATGAGTCTCCTAGTGTTAGCACTCCGACAATCAAGTTAATTGGGCGATCGAACGAGAAAAGTAGATTATAATGGTGAGAAAAACCTATCTACTTTTTAATTTTTGACTGCTACTTATATTTAAATTTTTGTCTAAGGTGATGGATCCCACTGTCATTCCTAGGTCATGCCGCTTTGTGTGGGTGATGTGACTTTTCGGACTTTCTGACCCGTCCTCTGCGGGCTTCTTTCTTGGTACACAAGCTCTATTCATTGGGTGGCGACTTCAAGCAAGCCCTTCCATCTTTAGGGAACACGAGCTCGCATTATGGATCCTTACTCGTCCTTGTCATCGCCGTTCTCGTTGTCTCTTCAGTCGTAATGCTAGTCCCATCTGTCAGCTGTCCATTCCTTGTAGGGCACGGTGGTGGCAGCCTCATGTGAGTTTGGGCTTTACGTAAACGGGCTCTCTTAG